TTCAAAGGTCTGCTTTATATTTTCAAATCACTCTGAAATTAGTATGTTCCTTTGACACCAACACATAAAACATACCTGTTTTGAAATCTCCTTATCAAAAACAGATGGCAGCATGACCTGCAGTTTTCTGTAATTCTGTGGAAAAAGTCTTAAATAATGACTTGATCAAAGAGAAAATTAGTTGCGATTCTACACACTTAAAAATGGAAAGCTGATCATTATGGCAATGAAACTTAAATGACTCATTCTGGCCATTCTCCACAAGTTTCACATTTATAAGATTTCACATTTATAAGATCTACTTTCCATTCCTATTGGAGTTCATCTCTCTGGTTTTTTGTTTGCTTTGTTTTTGTCTTTTTGAGACAGAGTTTCACTATGCAGCTCAAGTTGGCCTTGAACTTACTTTGTAAGCCACACTGGCCTGTAACCTGGACAGTTTTTCTCTTTTTAAAGAAAGCAATGATGGGGAGAACATGGTGGACAGATAGCAACAGCTATGGAGGCTCTCTAAAAGACTCAGCTTAGAATTCAGGAATGGGGGGCTGGGGATTTAGCTCAGCGGCATAAGCGCCTGCCTTGCAAGCAGCCAGTCATGAGTTCGATCCCCGGTACCGATAAAAACGAAAAAGACCAAAAAAAAAAAAAAAAAAAAGAATTCAGGAATGGTGTGGAGTAAGGAATCATAAGCAAGTGGAGATATGCCCTGCTGACCCAAGAATGAACTGGGCTGAGAGAAACCAACTGGGAATGTAATCCTGGTGCTATAACAGGAACAGAAAAGCCTCAGTGTGAAAGCTGGAGCCTGTGCCATTGGAAACCGAGATTTGGGTTTCCCGCCACCGCTGCTGCATCTACATCCACTCGGCAGGGAGAGAGATGAGCGAAAGCTCTGAGAACTGGAATTGGTCAACAGAGTTGAAAGCAGGACGGGTGGTGAGCCGTGCATAGACCTGCAGTGAGTGAGAGAAACTGGGACTCTTCCACGGTCTAGGAGACTCCAACAGAGGACATTCTGGGACCCGGCAGACTTGTGGGAACAGGGCGCTGCAGTGACTTCAGTCACGTATGCTCCTCTTTAGCGGGATTGGTGAGCAGTGCCTAGCCTATGTGACACTGCTGGCTGAGACCCAGTAGGCTAACACAACCCAGGTCCCAGCATCTGAAGGTAGATTGACCTGGAGGGGCAGGCTGCCCATAGGCTGCCCAGTCTGCAACTTCCTGGTGCACTGCGGTGGGTGGGAACACCTAGCCAGCACAATTCAATCAGACTGTGGCTAACAGGGAAGGAAGCTGGGCCTCTTATATATGCTTGCATATATAAGGAACAAAGAATATGGGAAGAGGCAGCAACAAGAAAGGCTCCTTGGCCCCCAATCCTGAGAAAGAGGCAATAGCAGACACAGCACCAATAGATATAAAGCGCTATCTCCAGAGCCTCATAGACAAGTTCAGGAATGAAGTTATTAATGACCTGAAGCTACAGATAAGCAGAATAGTTAGAGAAATGCTAAGCACCACCCAAGAAAAAACAGATGGTGAAATGGAAGAACAGAAAAAGAGGGGAGAATTGTTTGATGGAGAAAATAGAGAAAGCATAGAATACATGAAGCAGGTTCAAAGAGATTACCAAGAAACTAAAAACTCTATCAAAAACTGGCATAACAGCTTAAAAGAAACTAAGGACAGATTATCTGAACTGGAGGGCAGATTTGTAATATGGGAGAATGAAATGAAAAACTTCTTAAAAATAACAAAGAAACAAACAGCAATAATACAAAGACTAGAAGATGATAAGAGGATCTGTAACTTAAGAATTAAGAACATAAAAGAAGAAGTAGGGACACAAACAAATGAGCTACAAAAGCTACTCACAGAAATAATCCAGGAGAATTTTTCTAATTTAGCAAAAGGTAAAGATACTCAGTTGTATGAAGCATACAGGACCCAGCCACCTACAACCCAAACAGAGCAACACCCAGGCATATAATAATTAAAATTCCAGAAATTCAGTACAAGAACAGAATATTAAAAGCCATCAGAGACAAGAAACAGATCGCTTACAAGGGAACACCCATCAGAATTACAGCAGGTTTCTCGGCACAAACCATCAAATCACGAAGAGCATGGGGGGAAATAATTCAAGCTTTGAAAGATAATAATCTCCAGCCAAGATTGAGATATCCTGCACAACTATCCCTGGAAATTGATGGAAAACCAAGGTGCTTCCAGGATGAAGAGGAACTAGGGGACTATGCAACCACCAATTCAACTCTACAGAGAATACTGCAGGATAGTCTAAAAAAGAAAAATACAAAGAATCCAGAAATAGTGGCAGAGAGGCCACAATGAATGGAGCAGAAAACAAAATGAAGAAGACAAACTGACAACTAATGACAAAAAAGGGCTCAGTAGAAATGAGGCAGAGAAGATTGGATGATAGGAACAGCTATTTTGGAGAAAATGACATCTTAATAGGTAATACTGATTTAGTATCATCTTATTTTGAAGTTTCATCAAGCTTTTGTTCTTCTGTCTCCATTGGTCTAAACAGGTTGTATCTTATAGGATTTTATTATGTATGATAGTATAAGCAAAAACTTTTATAGACAAGGAGATTATATAGAAACCATTGTTCATTTTCTGTTAGTTGATTCTAAATACCCTGTAATACTGTCATTCTCTTAAATGGTTTTACATTGTTTTGATATATTTGATGCTACAGTATATGAAGTTATACTCAAAGATTTCAAGGAAGGAGACAATATGGTAACTACTTTTATGTCGGGATAATCTTGTGGTGAAACACTATTTTGCTTAAATGGTTATGTTTTGATCTGTGCTGTTTTGCTGCTATGCCCTTTTTTATCTCAATCTCCATTTTATTATTTATTTTTATTTTTATCCTTTTAATTAAGGGGAAAATAAATAAAAAATAGCAGGATATATTATAGTAACCCACTTTGACTTTCCATTATCTTGATTTAAAGCCCTGTATTGCTCTCACCATCTTGTTTTGATTGATGTCTCTCTACTCTGTTTTGCTTGATAGTACCAGGTTCGAAAGTTTAGGCAACAGCTGTGAAGATAGTGGGATTCATAATGATGCCCATTCTGGTTGACTATTATCTACTTTTGAAGACCTATAATGTCTCCAAGGTTTTGGTTTTGTTGCTTTTGTTCTTTACTGTTTTGTTCAATTTTATTACAACTGATGATATAGGCAATTATATTAGAGATAGCAGGAGGCATTATGGTAACCATTGTTGATCACCTTGTATTATGCTTTTACATTATCTATTATGTCCACCCTTTTGATTTGACTGACTCTGTTCTGTTATGTCACATTTGGTTCTACTCTCTTCCAAAAAAGTAATAAGAACTGTGGGAGCAACAAAACCCAAAATGTGTAATTGTCATTGTGCAAAAGAGAGGAAAAGTGCTCTAAATGATATAACTGCATGTATATTTAAGTGTATAAGATAGATAATGATATTACTGAGTTTTGTTTGATCACTGAACAGAACTGTTTGCAGTCTCACTGTTGGAATGTCCACTTTATAAGCTTTAATTTTGTAACTTGAACAAATATTTCTAAGATGACAATATGTAATCCATTAACTAGTGATTTCCTACTGTTTATTTTTTTCTGTAAATCTGTATAACTTGTACCCTTTCTCTGCTTTTTTTCTTTTTCTCCTTAAATAAAATTAAAAACAAAGAAAGCAATGAAAACAACTTGACTTACCTTTGAGATTCTGGACAGTTTAAATGCCTAACAAATTCTAATTGTGTTTGGATTAGGATTTTAATAAGGAGTTTACTTTGGCAAACCAAACTGGGAGAATACTCAGGTATTGTGGTGCATGCCTGTAATCCCAGCACTCTGGAAGGCAGAGGTAGGATTTCAAGTTTGAATCTAGCCTGGAAAACTTTAGCAACTTAGTGAGACCCTATTTTTCAATAAAAAAAGGGTGGGAATGTATCTTTGTGCAAAGACCTGGGTTCAGTCCCCCAGTATATGTAAACTGTGAGCCCAACCAAAGAGCTCTGTAAGAGTGTTGTGCCCCTATGCCCAAGCTGCAGGTCTAAGCTAGAATGTAGGACAGGAAGAGATTTCTTCACCCACTGTTGGTTTCATGGCTGAGGCCCTTATAACAAAATACAGATGATAAGAGAAAAGCTTGCCAATTTATTTAGTATAAGTTTTGCATGAATGAGTGTCTTCAGAAACAAAGGCCCAAAGGCCCTGGGAAACTCATGTATTTTTATTCTTAGGTGTGAGGGAATGTAGAGCATCATGGAAAGTATGGTGTGATAAAGAAGTGAGCTTGGGAGAACTCACTTTGCTCTGTGTCCCTGTGTGGTTTTGGCCTCTCTTCACAGGGAGGGCACTTCTCAAGTATGAATCTATGACCTGCTTGAGGAGGAAAGGTCAAGAATACCCTGATTGGGGCTGGCATGTTTGATCTCTAGTTTTCAAGACTGATTACTTTCCAGCTAGGTCTTATCTTTGGGGAAGTGGGGGGTGCCCTTTGGCTGGGAGGTTTGCTGTAGAGTCAAGCCTGTCACCTGATAGGACTGATTTTACCACAGTTCTGCAGTAGGACTCACTCCCATGTTAGTTCCTTTGATGAAAAGGTGTCCAGTGACTGTAAACTCAGTCCTGTAAGTGATCTGACACCTTACCTTGTTGCCTTATCTGATAATTCCCTTTAAGCAATTTGTAATGAGTTTCAACATCACTTCCCATTAGCCCACAGTATCCTCCCTCTCACCTGGAGCCTTCTTGCTCATGGTGTGGAGATCTCGTGTCTAGACATGGACTGTGACCATGAGTCAAATCTAGGTGTAAGTGTCTGTAAATTTCTTGCTTCCCTGGGAGCAGAATGAACTTGGATAACCTTAGTCACTTTTTAACTTGTCCATGTCCACAGTCTTCTGGTGAATAAACAGAAGAACTGACGGCAGAGAAGCGTAGCCTCAGCTTCTGATTCATGCCCATACGACTCTGGCCACCTCTAAGGCAGCCCCTGGACCGCTCCAAACGTATCCATCTCTTAGTAAATGACCAATGGACTGCAGTGCCCTAGCAGCACGTTCAGAGGTTCTATGTAAGCCAGTCAAGACCACGGGAAGGACAGCAGGTCACTACCTTCACACCATGCGGTTAAACTCAGTGAATATTCAACAGAGGAGGAGGAGAAAGGAGGAGAGGAAAGCAAGCTGGACTAAATAACTGAGGCTGTATCAATGCAGGTATGTCAGAGGGGCCACCTCTGCTTGGCAGTGTCATAATGCCTTGAGCCCAGCAGGAAAGATGACCTGCCTCTCCCTTTGCATTTGGATGCCCTGACTACCATCTTAAAAAGACACCTGTAACCTATAACAAAAAATACCTCTAACAAAAAAAGACAATGGCACAAAACACTCTTGCCTGCATTTACACTTGATCTATGCGTGAAGCAAAACTTTTATTATTTCTGCTCACATGGATAAGGGGAAGGCCAGAATGATAATATCTGGAGAAATCAAAGCAAGCCGTCACAGCATGCCTTCCTAACCCACTTGTTTGTAGAAGGAGCCCAGCGGCAGAACTGGAGTGGGACATGAGACCCTGGTGCATACTGTGCTGGGCAAGCACAGCCCAAAGTGCATGCCCTCTCCATTGCACCTGACACCAAGGCCAGCTGTGCTGTGAGATAGGACTATATTAATTTCCTGGACACCTGGAATGCTAGAGAAAGATTAATACACAACAATATGTGGAGGGACTCAGATTTCTCCCCTTGCATTACAGAGAAAGGATTGTTTGCATGCTAGCAAGAGACAGAGTCAAGCTCAGAGAGAATAATGTTACAATAAATACAACATTGCGCCCCAGGGGCCTACTCTGAGTATTTCCGGGCAGCAGCAAGACCTTCCCTCACTGGAGAGGGGCGCAGTTCGAAACTGGCCCAACCAAGAAGCCGGACTCGTAGGCTGGCCCCTTTCTAAAGTCAACTAACTCTCACCCTTCGACTCTTGGTCCTGAGTTGTGCTGAGCTGGCTGCTGCCGCTCTCAGCAGCACTTGGGACACTGCACTGGACTTACCAGGGCTGTGGCCTTCGGGAATCATGCCATCCGTGGATGACATTTTAGAGCATATAGGAGAATTCCATTTTTTTCAGAAACAAACATTTTTCCTCTTAACTTTGCTCTCGGCTGCCTTCACCCCGATCTATGTGGGCATTGTCTTCCTGGGCTTCATCCCCAACCACCGATGCTGGAACCCCGGGGTGGCCAAACTGAGCCAGCGATGTGGCTGGAGTCTGGCCGAGGAGCTCAACTACACAGTGCCCGGCCTGGGTGCTGCGGACAAGACTTTCCTCCAGCAGTGCATGCAGTATGAGGTGGACTGGAACCAGAGCACCCTTAGCTGCATGGACCCTCTGTCCAGCCTGGCTGACAACAGGAGCCTCCTGCCTCTGGGCCCTTGTCAGCATGGCTGGGTGTATGACACGCCTGGCTCCTCCATCGTCACTGAGGTAAGTGAGCTCAGGACTCTGAACAAAAAAAAAAGACAAATAATTGAGCTTTTCTTAAGGAAAAAAAGCAGAAAAGACTTGGTTCTAAGAACTGCCTAGACATGCTCTTTAAACTTGATGTATATTATAAAATACTAGTTTCCAAGTAAAAACATGCTGCTTCTAATTTGTCTAGAGTATGAGTAGATTAGTTTAAACTGCCTCAGACTCTGACAATGATTCTAGTTCGTGCAAGTCTCAGCAGTAAGGAACAAGCAAAGGACTTGATGCCAGGAAAGGGAATATTTTCAAGATTCCTCTTTTCTGGAAGCCCTATCCCTCCCTCTGTTTTACCAACACACAGGTGACAGAGAAAGCATGTGGCATTCACTGGAATAGTGCTTTACTGTGTGAGTCACCATGCTTTTCTCTTGATCACTGTTTTTTCCTCTTTGATTTGCTCAGTGTCCATATGAAATCATTTGAGTTGGAGGTTATGCTATGGCACAATTATTTTTATCCAAAACTAAAATCATAGCAAAATCTAATTGTGAAGCTTCATTCCAATAAGAGAAAAAGACATTCATAGACATGTTTATTGGAGGCAAAGAAAAATAGAAGAGAAATTAACCTGAAAAATGAAAAATGAGCTCTCCAGCTTAGTTGAAAGGACCACTTATATAATGTGAAAATGTGCTGTGCAAATTGCACATTGGAGCAGAGGAGCCTCTTTTAAAAGATAGTAGTGAGTAGTTGCATACAATAGAGAGATTCGTGGACTTAACACTATAAAAGCCCAAGAGGTTATATAGTGCAGTTAATCTCATCCCTTTGCACAGAGAACAGGAAATTGAGTCCAGAGTAAAGCAAAGTTTCATACACAACACAGATTGAGTGACAGCAGAATTAACTCTAGAAGTCAAATGTCCTGATTTCCAGGCCAGCACCTACTGACCCCATCCCCTGCCTTATTAAAGATGAAAGCAATTAGCAAGACACTGTGAATCCCTTACTGCTAAAAAGTCAGCTAAGAAATAACAGCCCAGTCTTCTCCTGGCTGCACATGTGTTATGTCCACAAAGCTATGTACTTCACTATATTCAAATTAAGAAGGAAAATTTGTTTGTAAGTGAAAACATACTTCAGCTGATTAGGTGCTCCTTTAGTTTAGTCAAAAGTCACATCTCAAAGTGGGAGCTGGAAGGATTTTGGACAAATATTTTGGTAATGTAAAGAATATTAATATGGGGGCAGGGGATTTGGCTCAGTAGCATAAGTGCCTGTCTGCCAAGTGTGAGGTCGTGAGTTCGATTCCTGGTACCCCCCCCCAAAAAAGGACATTAATATGGACAAGAACCTGTAGGATTGTTACCACTCAGCCATCCCAGCTCAGTTTGAAGAATATTTAGTGAGCTCCCTGGATGAATTGTGTCTAACCAGATTATGCTTTCTTTCCCTCCTGGCCTGGAACATGCCTCACATCTGGACAGTTCGACCTAGTGTGTGCCCATTCCTGGATGCTGGACCTGTTTCAGTCAGCCGTGAATGTGGGGTTTTTTGTTGGTGCTGTGGCCATTGGCTACCTAGCAGACAGGTAGGTGAAACACCTCTAGGGCAACCTCACAGTCTTAGATTTCTTCCACCACTTTGATAAGGACTCATGTATTTATTTTCAAATGCTCTAGGGTCAGGGAGAGATGTTTTAGCACTTGGCAATAATTTTTTTCTTGTGGGCTATTCAGTAACTAAGAGGCAGAAAGGAAAGTAAAAGATGATTTAATTCCTTTTGTAATCCTCCCTTTTTTCTCTCTCTCTGTCTCTCATTGCCTCTAACTTAGTCGTGATCCTTCAGGTCCTGTGAGCTCCTTCTCATCCTCTGCTGTCCCTCATGCATCAGGGTCCTGAGTGCCAGGCCAAGCACAGAAAGTCCCCACTGCCTGTCAATTTACAGACTTCCTGAATCAGGTTCCTGGGGCCACACAGGATTGTGTGTTCAGAACTGTGCATATAATGAATCTAATGAAAGTAGAACTAGGCTGTGTACACCGGGAGAGGTGCAGATCCTTCCACAAGGCTTGTGTCCCTGCAGAGGTGAAGAAAGCCTGTATAACAATTTGTCCTCTCGGAGAAGTACATGGCCCCATGTCTCTATATCCAGCGTTCACACTAATCAAGCCAGACCTGTATCTGATTCATCCAGCATTTTAGTCCCATTCTCACTCACAGTTCCATAGAATGTGAGTCTCTAATCTGTTGATGACTAACGATATTTTTTGGTGTACGCAAAAAGAAAAGGAACAGAATCACTTGTTTTTATCTTGATAAGCACATTAGGTAACTTGGCTACCCAGGCCAGTTACCTAACATTCATAATGCTGACGAGGTACTGAGTGTTTACGAGGTGCCAGGCACTGCGTGTGAGGTTTTGGACAGACTATTTAATCATCAGCCAACTTAGTAAGATAGAGGTACATATGCAAATATATAGGCAATGTGATCAAACAATATGATGGTATTTAAATTAAATTTTACTTATTACAATAAAAGACTCGTTTCCATTAAGCCTCCTCAAAATCCTTCCCCTCAGTTCAACCATGCTAATCCCATGGTCCTTGCCACCTTCTGAAGCAGTTCTGGAAACTTCTCTCCTGAGAGTTTCCGTTGCACTGCCATGGCTGCCTGGGGGTCCTGAACTAATTCAAAGCATTTACCTTTCATGGTCATTCAGCTTTGGGGAAGAGTCAGATGTCACCAGTGACAGATCTGGTAAATAAGGTAGACGAGAACACATGGTGATCTTTTACAGGACTACTTTTCTATTGGATGACACTTGGCAGTAGTCGTCACTGTATTTTTTATCAGAGTTGTAAAGACACTTGGGAAAGAATGTCTGCTGCAGAAAGGATTTCTGCCAAGGCTTCCTCAGAAAGTGAGAAGAAAGACGAGATGAATGTTTTTAAGTGAGAAGAGATATTTTGAGAGGAATTCGTGGTAATGTGCTTTTATTGTGTTATATGTTGCAAAATTTAAACACACACTATCTTTTTAACCAGTCCTTGTAACTATGTATATTTATATATATAGTGTATAACTACATGACTTTATTATATATTTATGTATAAAAACATATTTAATTCTGAAATAAATATAATTTGTGGCCTCCTCAACTGCACCTATGATATGACCAGACCTATGACTATGATAATAAATAGAGGCAAATATTTTCTCTGGCTGTATGATATTCTCAGGCTGACTAAAATCAGCAAATGTTTTGGCAGCCCACAGAGAGAGCTCAATACCATTACAGGGCCTGGGCCCACTTGGTAGGAGGAGGGCGGAAGGATAACAGCTGAGGTGCTCTAGACTAAAAAGCCATTCTGTCATCACCATGACGGTAACAACCTCCTCAGCCTTCCTGACAGGGCCCTCCTTGGGGCTTGCTGTGGGAAGGTCGTGAGATGGAGAGGAAGGTCGTTGTTTTTATTACTATTGCCCCAGAACCAAGGACAGCTCTTTGGAGATGCCCCATAAGTCAAGACAGGGGACATCCAGGGGACATCCAGGGTCCAGCCTTGCTCCGTAGGGCTGCTGGCTGGCAGCTCCTTGTGCCCTGGGAGCTGGGACATGAACCCCCAGGTCTCCCAGGAAAGCATGGGAGCACACTATGTGGGCTGCAGACGTGAGTTAATAATTTTCAGCCCACCCAAGGAGTAGGAAGTTAGTTCTAACTCTGTTCTAAGGTGCATTCCTGAGTGATAATGCCAGTCAATTATCCTCCTCCTTAGATGACCTCATCACGCTGCTTTTGCTGAGGAAGTCTCCCCTGGAAAGCTGATCACTCAGCATTCCTACCCAAAACACAGACCATGTCTCCTTCATCTCCTCTGTATCTCTCTCTCTCTCTCTCTCTCTCTCTCTCTCTCTCTCTCTCTCTCTCTCTCTCTCTCTCTCTCTCTCTCTCTTCCTAGTACTATATATTGAACCCGGAGCCTTTGCACTGAGCTAAGTCCCTAGTGCTTTTTCTTAATTTTTATTTTGAGACAGTCTGGCTAAATGGCTATATTGCCCAGGCTGGGCTCTAACTTGCAATCCTCCTATTTCAGCCTATCAGAGTGTTAGGATTACAGGCATCTGGCATCTGACACCATGCTTGACTCCTACTCCTTTTTCTTAAGCTGTCTGGAGGCTTTTTGGTCATAAATCTTCTGTTCTATCTGCGCATACATACAAGAAGGTGCAAGGGGACTAGAAGGAAGATAATCCACAAGATTCAAAAAGTATGAAGCCATTTATCTTTTGCATACTTACCTCCTGCAAGTTTCAGATTTTATATGAGAATTTGACAAGAATCTTATGGCAATCCATTTTATGCACTCATCAAATGATCATTAAGTAGACTATATTGTCTTTCATGAGGAGTTTTTAAAATATACTCTAACAGCTGATTATGTGTCTTTTCTGAAAAAAACTAGGAAGACAATATGAATAATAGGATATAAATAAGAATACTGCAAAGGAAGGAAAGGAGGATTTAAAAATGAGTCAACAGGCAAGTCTACTTCTTGAGGGCTAGCTTTACAATAAAAGGCAAGTCATCCAACAAAGAATTTAGAAATGAAACTTTCATATTTAATTTATTTCTTCATCTATACTTCCTAAGGAAAGATTTTTTTTAATATAGCCTGAAACACAAAGAAGCAATCCTTCATCATGTATGAGTTTTTCACTCTCATGATAAGTGGTAATAAGTACTAGATTTAGTGGCACGTTTGTAGATGTTTAATAACTGGATCTCTGCAGGGGTCATGGTCCATTGCAAGCTACCAAAATCACTGGGCAGAAGTGGCAAGAGACTTGCACTGTTACACAGCATTTCTACAACACAACTATAGTAGTCACAAATAACCAAGAGCATAGATAGTAAACGTAGAAAGATAATTAAAGAGAAATATGTTTTGCATGCTTATTTTAATGCAGCATATTTTGTTTAAAGTATCTACAATTTAATTTTCAATAATGGCTGTGTTTGGTGAGTGGCTTGCAAATTTTCTGAGAATAGCAATTAGCTACTATGAGCCAATATCCACTGTCTTTATACTCTGATAGAGCCAGATCAAAGCAGAAGCAAACTCCCATTACATTGCATCCCAATCTGTGCCCAACTACACACGCTCTTCCAAAACAAATTTCCACTGACTACTGTGTGCAAATTGTTTCACTGGGTATCTTCGCTTGTTAATGTTTCATTTAGGATTGCAGCAACTTTTAAGGTAGATTTTGTTATCCATCATTTACAGATGAGAAAACCAAGGTGAATGAAATTAAAGCAGTACTGCCCAGATGCCAATGTGCATATAAGTCACCTGGAATCCTGTTAGAACTCTGATTTAGTCACTCTAGGTGGGCCTTAAAGTCTGCATCTTAAACTAGCCCCCAAGTGATGCTAGTCCATTCCCATCCCACTGCACTGAGAGTTTTGGGCCACGTACCAAGTAGCAACAAGAACTGTGAAGTTGGAGGTGCTGGGTGTCCATCTTTTCTTGGCTGCTTGATCTATTTTTCATGTACTCATTTAAATTGATTTATCAGAAGGAAGGGGGTCTCAAATCACTGCCCCAAACCACCAAAATTTCTTCTAGCAATGTATTAGATTTTTTAAAAATAGCATTATATCCTTAATTGGAATGTGTTCCATGGTGAGGTTTCTCTACTTCATCAATTGTGTTTCCTTGCTTAGATTCTCCATTGAGGAGTATTCCCTCTTCTTTATCCAAGGATTTCATCCATTACAGGAGCATGACTGATAGGCTGTGTGCCTGAATCAGGCGTGGATATTAAAGAATTACCATTAGAACAAATGTTTATAGATTATAAAATCTGAGGAGAGTAGAGGAAGTGAGATGTGACTTTCAAAAGTTTTGAATTAAAAGCCAAGGGGATATATATTTACAACAGAGAGCAACTGACAAAGAATCAGGAACTGATATAGCCAAAGACTGTTTTTAAGACATTTAGTAATTTATGTTAATTACTAATGTGACTGCTTGAACTTTAAAATTGAGGTTTAAAATGTTAACAATCTAAAATAGTTAATGATTGACCTACTTTTCTTGTTTCTGAGACAAAATGCCCAACACCCAAGATTAAAGGAGAAGAGGTTTATTTCAGTGCACAGTTTGTAGAGGCTGCAGTTCATAGTCCGCTGGCTCCAACAAGGAGAAACAGTTCATGGCGAGCAGAAGGCAGGAAGCCAGCAGAGTACTAAAGTAGCAAGCGGCAAGTGACAAGCGATCGCACCAGCCTTCTTTCTGTCCTTATATCCTGCCCAGGTTACCAACCCTTGGGGCAGGAGGCACTTATGCCCATTATCTACTCGAAGAATTTTCCCAAATGAACTGATTCAGTAATCATATACACTTGGTCCTAGCATCACACACTTAATGCCAACATTGCACGCTCCAGATCCAGCCACCCTGAAAAGCCTCACCTACCACCTTATGAGGCTTTGGGGAAACATCTAGACACAAGCCATAATAATGATGCTAGTTAGTATTTGAAATAGTAACCAGAACATTGTTGCTTATTAAAAGCTGCAATTATAAAATGTTCATTTACCATTAAGATGTGCAGTACTAGCAACAAATATTTATTCTAGTTGAAGAGGATAAAATAAAGACTAGATGTACCATTGTTTTCTCTGAAATATTTTCAAAATATCCAGAGAGCAAATTAAGGTGTCTTTTGGAACACAACTAGGTGGACGTGGTAAAAATGTAAGAGGCCTCAAGTCCACTTTCTGATAGTCAGCTGTTTTAGTCCATGTACCGTTACTCTAATGTAGTACCTGATGCTTAGCAACTCTACAGATAAAAGAGATTTATTTAGTCTGTAGTTCGGGAGGATTGATTGCATGGTACCACATCAGCTCAGCTCTGGTAAAGATCTATTAGTACATGCCATCATAATGGTGGAAGCATAGAGACCTAGTAACACTTACAAATATGCTCGGTATGCTTTGCTGCTTTGTGTCACATTTTAAATTGACAATTAAGAGAATGCATGTCTTTTTGTTTTTTTTCTGAGAAAGGGTCAGACTGGCCTTAATTCATTCACTATGTATCCTAGGCTGACCTCAAACTTGCAGCAATCCTCCTGCCTCAACCTCCCAAGTGCTGGAAATATAAGCATGTGCCACCATGCCCAACCAAGAATGCAATATTTTAATTGTAATTCTTCCAGTATGTCTATCTAAAGATCTGTTGCCATTTTTCTCTTCAGTGAAATTTCTGTCCTCAAGAAAGACAGGATTAGAATTTTTCCTAACAGACCGAGTCAGTGTAGTGTTTTCTTGATTATCAAAACTATTCCTGTAGCTTTGGAATTTGGTGAATATTCATAGTGTGTGGAAAGCACACCACACCATGCAGTCTCACCCATGTTATGTTCATAAGCATAGTTCTAGAAGGACACATCCAACAAAGCCGGACTGCAAACGACCTCATGCTTTGTTGCTTGTGTTTTTGTTTCCTACAATATATGTGTTAACTTTTCAAAAATAAATATCATGTTTAAAGCTTAAAGTAAAATAATGTTGGAAACATATATGAAAGGAAGAGACCACACCACAGAATCAGAAGCCAGGGAGTGATTCAAGGATGTTTGCTCCCCTGCAACGCACTTTCTTGAGAACCTCCTAAATCCTCTGTAAGGGCAGGGTCCCTAAAACCCTAAAGATCTCCCACTAGGCTCCACCTTCAGCAGTTCCCCATCTCCTAACACTATGAAGATCAAGTTCCAATGTACATGGCCCTGGGGGACAAAACACATTCAAACCTTGGCACCAGCGTTTAAAACTGAAGAAATGCCAGGAAGACTGGGCTGAGCTCCTTGTCTCTAATAACTTACTTAATCCTCTTTTTAGTTGGTCAGATAAGTCTTTTCCATCTGAAGAAATTGAATCTCGTTGAATAACTTGCCAAACACCACGCTAAGTGGTAAGACCATAATTAAACTTAACTTTTAATTTTTTGCTCTATTCGTGGACAGCTCCAAAATCCCTAAACTAATGAAAGTTAAGTTTCTGCAGATCTAAAGTATAGAGTTTGTCCCACCAAGAATTGCTCCACAACAATAGCACCTTGGAACTGTAGTATGTGAAACCAAAGACATACAGACATGCAAAGACCACAAAATGTCAAAAGTACTGTTGAAAGCAAATAGGAACGTACAGTGAATGTCAAATTTCATTTTACCCAAAGCAAAGGTGGGTGGTTGATTGAAACTGTTAACACAAAAAACCCAGCTCATAAGCTGATGTAAGACCTAACTAGCCCCTTGGGGCATTAGCACTGGGTGACCTAGAAGGACAAACCTCCTTGGATGCTCACCACAGTGTGGAGCTGAAATTCTTCAACCCTAGAAAGAACAGGGCTCTTTGGCATCAATTTTATACAGAGGACACTAATAAAAACTCTTAAATAGAACCAAAGTCAGGAATTGTCTTTGTAGATATAAACAAACACTTGACTGCAATTTAGAGTTAACTTCCACTTTTGAACAGATTTCCATAACTTCCATGAAGTTTCCACAAATTTTATGACTCAAATTTAATTGTATTATCTTTGTTCTTTATCTCTCCACAGGTTTGGCCGTAAAATCTGCCTCATAATAACAGTTTTCATAAATGCTTCATCTGGGGTTCTCATGGCCATTTCTCCAAACTATACATGGATGTTACTGTTTCGTTTGATCCAAGGACTGGTCAGCAAAGCAGGCTGGATAATCGGCTATATCCTGAGTAAGAATGCTTGTGGTTGCAAGTGTGAGAGCACAGGGATTTAACTGCCAGAGTAGCATCAAGTCGGGGAGGAAATAAGGACCCAGCTTTGAGACAATGTTGGGAGATTTATTCCATATCCAAACAACTTTTAAAAATTGTCTAATTAACTAATTCTGCAATTCTACTATGAAAAGAAAACAATAGAGGCAGAAACAAGGATAAACATCTTGCCACCCAGATTCATATACAACTCTTTTGGAATTTTTGTTTTCTGTACACTGGCATGTTATGTAGAGAGAAACCTTCTAGACCCATTTAGATAGAATGGAATCAAATAAATGCAATGGTGAGAGATATGTTTGATGTATAAGGGACTTTATTGCTGTGCATACATCCATTCTTATAAACCACAATAATCCTCAATTTTTGTACAAAAAAATGGAGAATACAAATACTGTGATGGAAATAGGTTTATCACCTCAGCAAGCCATTTGTAAAATAAGGAACACAATTTATACCCTACTCACTAGTAGCCAGAGTATGTTTAAAGTCCACAGACTGTGAGAGTATATTTCAATTCTAACAACAGAGCACATAGAGGAATAGTAAGAAAAATTACAGCCATTATTAGATCTTTGAAAATAACCTTCGTCATTACTTTCTCTTTGGTTGCATTTAAATAGCATCTGTGCAAAGAGAATGGTCATTTTCAAGTTACACTACTAATAATAGCAATAATAAAGCTCCTTAGATATGAGAGAACTCAAATGTATGTGTTTACATAGTTTTATCTGGAAAAGCCAATGCAAGGAATTTTGTGACAGGGAGAGTAGATGATTCTTAACACGATTTCTGCCAAGAAAGGCATCTAAAATAACATTTGGCCAATGAAGATCATGCATGCAGTTATTTAACCAATAATTTGGCTTTCAGAACATGCAGTATGCAGAATTTAATTGTGTACATGTATATTTCAGCGAAATTAATCTCAGCCTCTTCCCATTTATTTCTTCTCCAGTCCCTCTGAATGTCCGTGAGTCTTTGATGTGTACTTTGTTACTCCCCTCGTCCTCCTCCCAACCTTCCCCAAAATCCATTCATGACCCCAACCACTTCAACAGACCTTTGTATTTGTTGAGCATGGCTTGCTTTTTCGTTTTCTTTCTTTCTTTCTTTCTTTCTTTCTTTCTTTCTTTCTTTCTTTCTTTCTTTCTTCTTTTCTATCAAATTATTTAGCTGTTTTTAAATATTTTAAATAATTCACATTTATAGAAATATCTTAAGGTACATTTCTGTTTGGTTTATAAATAGATGAACCTTTAACATATTTGCCAAACATTTAAAGTCAAAATTGTGCTTTGTGGAGCATCAGGAACTTCAGTGTCACTATGTCTTCATATAAAAATGACTATCACATAGTTCCATGTACATAGACCTCATACATCTGCCACAGCACAGTCATGGGATGGGATAAAGCTGATGTACAGTGAGTGTGGTGCTGGTAAATTGGTTCTTGGAAGGTAAAAAGCACTGATTTGCAATTGTTTTCTAATTTCCTAGGTTTAAATGCTCCCCCATGATAGGTTTCAAGATAATAATAAATTTAACAGTTTCCAAAATTCCTGAAAACTGTAACATATGCTCTTTCAGTCAATACTGCCAGATTCTAGTCCACTTCTCAACTTTTAGCCTTTTGCACAGATAAAGGGGATTGCAAAGGAAATGTTTACCCTGCAAGAGAACAAGTTATAGTCAGGTGTTCATTTAAATGGCCAGGGGTATAGTTCAGTGGCACAACACCTGTCTCGCAAGCATGAGATCATGAGTTCAAGTCCTAGTACAAACAAAACAAAACAAATTTGTTACAATCAAACATTTTTGTTCATATTGGAAAGTGTTTGATTTTAAATCTGATGATATAAGGCTATAGGATTTCTATTAATTCAACAGCAATAACTACAACAAAATAAGTACAAAGAACATTTTAAACAGCTCAGAGAGTTGTACAGAAAATCCTAGTCTACCACCATACACCTGAGGCTGGTGTTCTGGTTTCACAATGGAGCTGAATGTGTCCTTTTGGGTTCTCTCTGCAGTTACAGAATTCGTTGGAATGAGCTATCGGAGAACAGTGGGGATTTTATACCAAGTCGCCTTTACGGTCGGGCTCCTGGTACTGACAGGGGTGGCGTACGCCCTTCCTCACTGGAGGTGGCTACAGCTTGCCGTCACTCTGCCCAACTTCTGCTTCCTGCTCTATTACTGGTAAGTCCATCTGGAATGCAAAGGAAATATGCTGAAGTCATTTATTTTGTTAAAATAAACACACTCCACTTCTAAATCCCAGGCTTTCCTTCATTATTCAGGCTTCACAGAGACCCCAGTTCCAAGTTTCAAAGATAAAAAACACATGCTTCCTCAGTGGGAATCAAGTGTCTTTTCACTTTGGGCATAAGGTTTTTGTGACCAGGATCTTACATTTCAGATGATTTATTTGATGTCTAAATTAGTGTCCAGCAAACTTAATACAGCTTAGACTACAGATCCATAAGAGATCAACAGTCTTGCTCTTGCTACTCTATTCTTGAAGAATGAGCATGGCATTTATGTCGCCGCTTCCCCATACCCAAGCCCAAGGCAGACATCCCCAATCAATCACAGCACCTATTATCTCAAATAAGGCCACCCTGGCACCCCAGGACCATACCAATCAGTTATCATTATCAAAGCAAATTAAGTATATTTCCCAAGGGAAGCACATGGAAAATGGCAGAAAACCATGTTATGGTTAGAAAACCATAACATGTCTGAAATAAACAGACAAAACGCTGTATTACGGGACCAGATCACTCTCCTGTGCAGCAAACTCACTTATGTTTTCCCTCCTGGACCTATCAGTTTCTTTTTTCCTATAATTGTCTTACCTAAAAATTAAACATCTCCACTCAGAGGACTGCTTCTTTTCCAAAAGTCAGTAAAATTCTGTGTCTTAGTTTAAGATTCTACAACAAACACTGCAGATTGGGTGATTAAACAGTGGACACATTTCCCATAGTTATCAGGGCTAAGAAGTCAAAGGTCCAGGCGTTGACCAATTTCCATCCCACCTTGAGCTTGCAGAGACCTTCCTTCTCCTGTGTCCTCACATGGCAGAACTAGAGTGTGAGAACTCTGATCTCACTTCCTCTTCTTAGAAGGACACTGATCTCATCATTGATGTCACTTCATCTCAAAGCTTCATCTAAACCAATTACCCCCAAAAGCCCCACCTCCAGGGCAGGGCTTCAACATGTGGATGCATCCGCTGTACTCTATGATTCATCCTCATCTCCTTTATCTCTCCATGCTCATTTTTACTACTCTGAATCCACCCTTTTGTCCCACTCCCAATGGGAAATCTTATTTCTCAGCTAAATTGCTCCTGTAGCGTCCCATCTGCTCGTCTAGACATTTGTTTACTGTCTACTTCATACAGAAATTTAAAAATCCAGTTTTTTCATGTCACTCTCCTGTTTAAAAGTCTTGCAAAATTTTATTTCTCTGTGAATAAAGACCTAATGATTCATCCTGCCAGAAAAGCCTGTTACTTAAGTTCTGGCCACCACGGAGCACTTTTTGCCACTTGGCACACAATAAAATCAAGTTGGGATTTTATATACAGAATTTCATGACAGGGGTGCACTTTTGGAAGGCTATTTGAGACCCAGAATAGGAAACAGGTTTCTGAGGGAAAGAATGGAGGGAAGGAGGTCAGTTAGAAACTATTGCAATCTTCCTAGCAAGATGAGACAAGGGTCTAAACTAAGAAGCTGTGTATAGGAAGAGCAGGGGGAAAACATATATATATATAAATGTATAATTTCTAATAAGGTATAAATACTAGGGTTTGGTGGCAGACCACATAAGAAGAACTAGAAGGAAGGAGTTTCCATTGTAGGTTTGAGTGCCTACATGTTGGTTGGGTGTCCAGAAAGACGAGCAGGGTGGAAGGAATGGTGATGAACAGAGCTTTGCACACACCAAAGTTGAGGTGCTAAAGGGAAGTCTCATGCAGATATCCAGAAACCAGTGAAATTTAAGGATCTGGAATTGCAGTAAATTTCACATATGTCTTTGTTGTTGCTATGGGACCAAATGAGATAAGAAATGAATAGAGTTGGAAGAGGAAGAAGATAGGGCCAAAATCCAAGAAATCACCAAATTTTGAAAGCTGAGCAAAAGAAGAGGAACTAAGACCAAAGAAGGGCAAGGTGGCATCGCCCAAAATAGGAAAGGAATTTAGAGTCACAGAGGCAAGAATGGAAGTTACAGATGCTGGCGGTTCCCCTCAATCCTCAGTACTCAAAGCCTCCTGTGGTGACTTCCCAGGCCCAGGAGGAGGTGGGGTGCTCCTCCACGCTACTGAGCTTTGCATTGTCTCTATAACTCTCACATTAGCAGTTCTTGTCACCAAGTCCTGACCTTTCATTTTATCACCTGACGGGCACAGTATGATATCAGCTCTTTGAGGTCAGGTGACATGGGACTCCTTGATGCAGCCTTCTGCCTCGGGCCCTGGTAGATGACTTTCTGGCCTTTGCTTGAACTAGGAGAGTTTTTCTTTTATTGAGTAAGCAACTTTACTGTAGAACAAACCCAAAGCTTGTATTCAGAGTACTTTGGATTGAGCCAGCATTTGTACCCCTGTCATTTTTATCCAATGTTGCTAATTTGCCAAAAAATCATTTTAATTTTTATTCTATCAAAAATTTCTTTAGCAATTGTGTTAGCTCAAAGTCCACCCTGACTCCCCACCTGTAGGCTGGCTAGGTTCTTACCTATCTCTCCCTGGTTCCCAAGTGAACATTCTTTAGCTTCCCCACCCCAGCTCAGGTATCAGTTGGCCAAGATGACCCTGGCCTTCCTAAAAGGGCATGCAGTAGAGCTGCTCATGGGCACCAAGTGTCATCTGAAAAAATGGCCCTGCAGTGTCACAGTGTGAGTAATTGATTGGCTGCAGTTGAGCACAATATGCTCCTGGTCATGCTTGGATTCTTAACCAATCAGTTTTCCTGGCTATCTTCTCACGTTACTCCACTGAAACACCCACCTGGGTCCTGCTATCTCTCAACAATTTCAATCCCAAGCCATATTTCCAATCAGTGCTTCCCACTTTTACACCATGGAGCTGTGAGAGTGACCTGCGAGCTCCTTCTTTGCACTCCTACGTCTCTCTCTACTTCAAACCTGGTTATTTCAAGTGCTGTCAATCCAGAGCCGATGCTTAGAGACCTTGCAAGAGCTTCCTCATCACTGGTAGATTCTAGCTCAAATCGTACTGTCTGGCTTTTATGTCCCACCACCATCTGTCCTCAACTTCTTACTTCTTTCTTTGTCAAGCCACCTTTTGCATTATATATATTATATATTATATATATACGAGATGTGATCAAAATATACCATGAATACTTAAATTAAAAACTTTATTGCCAGGCTTGATGACACATGCCTGTAATCCTAGCACTTGGGAGGCTGAGGCAGGAGGATGGCTTCACTGCAAGTTCAAGGCCAGCCTAGGTTACATAGTAAGTTCAAGACCGGCCTCAACTATATAGTGAGAACCTGTCTTTGAAAACAGACAAACAAATAAATAAACAAAACCTTTATTACAATAAAAGATGCATTGCCCTTAATCCCCCTGGAATATACTCCTCTTCACTTTGAACACATGTACCCCATCTTTCTTGCCACTTGCTGAAGCAGTTCTGGGAAGTCTTCTTTTGTGAGCATCCTTACTAAGTATGATCAAAAAGATGGTGAATGTTGCTGCTGAGAGGCATCCAACAGCAAGGCAGGCTTGTAAAACATTAAATGTGTCTTCATCCATCTTATTCACCACATCAAGTAACTTCTGAATCTTCCCCAAAGTCAAAATGAGTATGAAAGTGCGTGTCCCACGTAGCTGTCAATGTTCTCAGGATAAGGACACTGAGAGGATGGAATAAAAAGGGCAAGTGTTGGATTACAGAAAACTAAGTCTTGACAGGAAGTAATCAAAGAAGAAGGAGGAGGAGGAGCGAGAGCTCCAATAGCTGCAGTGCGTTTATGCACACACTAGAGAGGTGGAGTATCACGTGAGACGTCTCCACCTAATGGTTTACCCATGTGGTGTTTCTCAGGCACCCAGTGTTCTTGACACTAGAGCAGCTAATTTGTGTGACTTGCGTCAGGCACTTTGTGTTCTTGAGGCTGGCGTTGCTCCAGCCGCACACATGACTGGTCTCCAGCTTCAGCCACTCCCCACATGAAAGGTAAATGTTTTCATCAATTCAGGACATCAAGACAGCCACGACACTACAACTAAAATCAGGAAAGAGAACTGCCAGAACCGCTTCAGAATGTGGCAAAATGTTGTAATGAGTGTGTTTGAAGCAAGGGGGAATATTTGAGGGAGATTAGTGACCACATGTGTTTCACTGTAATTAATTTTTAAACTTTAAACATTCATTGCTGGGCATGGCCGCACAAGCCCTGTTATCCCAGTACTTTGGAGACTGAGGCAGAAGGATTACTTTGCTGTGAGTTTGAGGTCAGCCTGAGTCACATAGTGAGATCAAGTCCAGTCTGAGCTACATAGCAAGACCCTGTCTTAAAAAAACACACAAAAAAATTCATGGTCACACTGTTTGATCACACTTTATACTTGCTTCCCTCCTTGATGATTTGTATGCCCCCACCTCCACACTGAGATCCCTTCTGTCCTTTAAAGCCTGAGGCCCAGTTGGCTTATTCCCTCTAGAAATTTCTGCAGAGGGAGCCCAAGGGCTTCTTAAAGGCCAAGTAAAGTCGGTATTCAAGAGGCGAGTACTACAAGTCCCCAACTTGCTCTTTATCCTCTTTGTTGATTTAACTGAACCTCATTGTGCATGATCTTCACAGAGATCCCATCACAAAATTGTGGGGGCTGGAGGGCTTCAGTGTGACTTTTCTCCTCACTAATGCTGTGTCGTAGGTGCATCCCCGAGTCTCCAAGGTGGCTGATTTCTCAGAACAAAGCTGGGAAAGCCATGAAGATCATTAAGCACATCGCTAAGAAAAATGGAAAATCAGTGCCAGCCACACTTCAGGTGAGCCAGGGTCTCTCAGGTATCAAATTAAGCAGCAGCTAGAGAAGGCAGTGGGAAAATAAGACATACCAGCAATGCCAACAGAGGGCCGCCACCTGCCTCTTGGTCTACCTGTGGGAGATTAGATAACCAGGGTAAATGCAAGATTCGTGGTTCCTAAGAGAACGCTCTCCCCATGTGTCAAACATCGAACTTAGAGAGAACCAGAAACCACTTAGAAAGCAGACGAGGAGCTGCTATCTGTACAACACAAAGTGTTGCTGGACACTGTCCCTCAGAGCCCATGTCCTGCTGCCCTGCGAGCCTGGTACCCTCAGGTCGGAGTCTTACAGCCATAACACAGTTCTTTGGACACAAGTAGCTTCTTAGCACTTTAAATATTTTGAACAGGGATTGTTTCAAAATATTTAAGTGATCATCTATCTTCTTAAACAAAATTAAGCTACTGAGGTGTCCTTTTGTCCTGGGTTTTATGTTTTGCCTTTAGTAGATTTCATCACTTTGAACTCAGAATTTTTCATCTCCCAGGAGCTAGAAAGGAGAAAATGAAACATATTAGAAAATTACATAAAGGTAAGAGTCAATCTCTTGTGAATGAGGATTTAAGGTAGGTCAGCCATAAGAACTTGAAGTTTGCATGGTTTAGGATGAGAACGTTGGGCTCACTGGCCTTTTCTTCACTTCGTTACACTTCTGGATGGTTGAAATGCATTTCCTTTATCATTAAGGACTTAAAATGGTTCTGACTCTTGAGTTTTGGGTTCTTGCAGTGAATGACTAGGACATCAGGCACAGGTGAATCATTGGTTTGCCAAAGGACCCAAAGTTCCGGTACACTACTGTGGCTATGCTATTGCCACAGTCTTGCTTAGATCCCATTCATTTGCACACCACCACCTTTGACAAAGTTACAGCTGCACCATCTAGTGACTGCACACTTCCAGAGGAATACTCCTTAGATGTTACTGTCCATACACCAGGTCACATGGGATTTTGTGAAAATGCAAATTCCAATCAGTCTATCTCCTGATACTTCATTTCTGCTTTTCTTGTTGTTGTTGTTGGTGGTGGTGGTGGTCTTTTTCACACAGGGTCTCAATATGCAGCTCAAGCTGGCCTTGGACTCACTTTGTAGCCCAGGTTGGTCTTGAACTTGCAAATGATTCTCCTGCCTCAACCTCCCAAGTGCTGGGATTACGGGCATGCACTGTATTTATAACAGTCTCTGGGCAGTGCCCATGCTGGTCTTAAGTCAAGATCCCAAGTCTAAACCTCCTGCCTGATGGGCCACATCTGGCAGGGGGAGGGGGACCAGATGCTTCACACTTCCCCCTCAAGGTCCTATGTCTGCATTTCAGTGACACTGCACTACGCTACCCCACTTTAGATATGTGCCACACATTACTCAAGTTATCCATATTCAAGCTTCTCTTGGGGCTGGGAATTTAGCTCAGAGGCATAAGTGCCTGCCTAGCAAGCACAAGGTCATGAGTTTGAGCCCTGGTTTCAAAAAAAAAAAAGCTTCTGTTCTATAAAATGAGGTGATAAAAGCAGATTCTAACTTCTAGGACTTTCGTAAAAATGAAATAAGACAAAGCATGCAGTGCACTCAGTGTCAGGCAGGGCACACGACAGGTGTTTGGTAAGTACGAGGTGTTGCTGCTGTACCCCATAAGACTCTAGAACCACCATTCTGCAGACAAAGCTGTTCTTACTGTGTTTTTTCTCAGAGCCTGAGAGCAGATGAGGAAGCTGGTCAGAAGCTGAATCCTTCATTTCTTGACTTGGTCAGAACCCCTCAGATAAGGAAACACACTTTGATCTTGATGTATATCTGGTAAGCCATTGTTTGTTTGCTGCTTTAAAATCCCTTCAAATTTATTTACTCACAGGCATTCACATTAAGGGAGAGAACAAGGACACCTCAAAACAACCCAGTTCCAGGCTCAGCATTGACAGAGGGCACAGCATGTGGCTCATAGGTAGCAAGTTTTCTTCATGGTTCTCTCAGATAAATGTGGAAGTCGGTTCACAGTCCTGACATAAACATCACAGTGATCTTGACCTCAGCTCCTCTTTAGATTCATGCAGGAGACTAAAAAACTCATTTAATGGACCTAGAGTAAGGCCCAGTAACCAAAACTGTTTTTAATTCTCCTGGTGATTCTAAGGATTCTAATGTTTAGCCCAACTTGAGAACTATCGGTGTAGATTAATTGAAGATAATCATAAATCTCTGCAATAAATCGCACAGGGCTGACAAGAAAGGGACCTCTTCTTTTTATTGTACCTTGGCATGGTCAAAAACTCTGGTGAATGTTTAAATTAAAAACTTTATTACAGTAAAAGATACATTGCCATTAATTTCACTCATTCATGGTTAATATCCGTGGATTAATAGGATAAATAGCACAAGGCTTACTCAGAAAGAGCCTTTTCTTTGTATTTTGTACCTAGAGGAAAAAATAGACTGTTAATCAATAGCACACAGTGGCTGCACAGACCAGCACTTTGAGCTTTACTGGGCCACACTGGCTGCTCCCAGAACCCAGAGCCACTCACCACAAGCTGCCCCTTCCTGGCAAAGCAGCATCAGCTTGGCAAGCCCCACATAGGCTACACAAAGTGATCTTCTCACTTACAATGGCAAAGTTCTCCACAATTTCTGCATAGAAAAGACAGCCTTGAGATCTGACTTCATTCTCCTCCCTTCCTTTTCTGAATAACTGCGACTCTTCCTGATCATCCTCATCTTTTCCAGCACGTATAATGACTGTCTTAAGTCATCAAAACTAGAGATATTGTCAAAATGTTTGTGTCAAGCCAGAAGAAACTTTTCGAGAAAGAAATTGGTTCCCCTTTGGTTTTCTGTTTCCTGAAATTTAGTTACATAGGAATTCATTAGATTCAATGCTTTAGAAGACTACAAACATTTCATAGTCTTTAATAACTTGACATTGTCGTACTGAGTAAATCACTCTGTGAAGACATTCTTGGCTTTCAGTTTGACCAGAGAATGCTGTCCTAATAGCTTCCCTGTGCCTAGGTCTCAGTTCACAGGCAGCCATCAAATTTGGCCAGCTTGTGTTAAAGTGATGGGACAAAGAGAACAGCCATGAGGTCACAGGAAAATGTCACCTGCCATCAACTTCAGTCCTTCCAGAAGCTTCTTTTTTGTTCAGTGCTCAACCTGACCTTGGCTCTCTCCTCTCTGCCCAGGTTCACAAGTTCTGTTCTCTACCAGGGCCTCATCATGCACATGGGCCTCGTAGGGGAAAACATCTACCTGGATTTCTTCTATTCTGCACTGGTTGAATTCCCAGCTGCCTTTATCATCATTCTCACCATTGACCGCATTGGGCGCCGTTACCCTTGGGCTATGTCAAATGTGATGGCAGGGGTGGCCTGTCTCGCTTCAGTTTTTGTTCCTGATGGTAAGTTTCTGGCCAGCCTGGGATCTTGTCCCCAAAGCCCTCAGAGCAGGTATCAAGACCTGGTCTTAATAGAAAGACCAATTTCTCATCCAGATGATTTGGAAAAATAGCATTATGTCCTGAGCAAACATGCCCTCAACCATTACATAGACTCTGTTGTGCTACAGTGCCACAGCATAAGAGATTTTGTGAAGATCTGAGCATCAGGCCACAGAGGCAGCCTAAAGCACAGAGCATATGCTCTGGGGAGGACAGGCCATGGTTTAAATCTTACTGTAGAACTTTCCAGAAAACTTCCTTCATGCCTGTGCATCACCCTATAAAATAAATTGGAAAACTTATACGCTATCAGTAAACAATTGTTCTTTCTGTATGAAATGATTCTCAGTGGCAGAGAGCAAAACCTTATGAAAAAGAATCCTTTTAGCAATTGTGGGATTTTATCCAAACACTTCAGTGAATAGCAACTACTGAAAGTGGGCCCATACTTTGCTATTTCTCTCCACTGACCTCTATAAAGTTGCCCTAGCTTTGGAAAAGTTTATAATTTTATATAGTTAACAACTGAGGCCCATAGGTAACAGTTTTGTTTGCAAACAAAACTATAGAGGCAGGGAAAACTCAGTGGTCACTAGGAACTGGGTGGGGAGTTATGCAGGTAGAAAGCAGAGGATTTTAAAGGCAGTCAAAATCCTGTGTGACAGCAAAGTGGTGGATACATTTTGTCTCATATTTGTCCAAATCATAGAATGATTACTACTAAAAGCAACTCCTAATGTAATTTGGAAACTTTGGGTAACTGTTACATGTCCCTGTTGGATCACAAGCTTAGTAAACGCGCCACTGTGGGATCCATGCTATGAAGGGGGTATACATGTCAGGGCTCAGAGAAATGGGAAATCACAATACTTTCCTCAGTTTTGCTAGGAATTTAAAATGACATTTTAAAAAATGATTTTAAAAAATCAAGACAACATATTGGGACCTCCTGTGAGGCCCAAACAGAAAGAACACAGTTACTGCCATTGTCTTGAGTCTGTAGTGCATGGCTCTGACTTCCCTGTCTCATCCTGGAACACACAGTTTCTCTGCACAAAGCCTGTTTGAAAGCACTGTTTGGAGATAAGGGATCGTGCACCATCTATACAAATACTGTGTTTTTCCCTCAGATGCACACTGGCTAAAAGTCATCCTAGCATGCTTAGGGAGGATGGGAATCACAACGGCCTTCGAAATAGTTTGCCTAGTCAATGCTGAACTGTACCCCACATTCATTAGGTGAGTACACGGGGTAGTTGGAACTTTTATCATGGGGCTAGAACCCCTGTGGTGCAGGCAAAGGTATCTGTCTTAGCTAGTTTCCTGTTGTTGGGACAAAATACTCATGCAAAACTTAAAGTAGAACAGGTTTGTCTCAACTCACAGTTTCAGTCTATGGTTGGCAGGTCCCAAGGCAGAAACAGGATGACAGAGAGGCATGGCCAAGGCAAAGATGCTCAGCCAGTGACAGGCAGGAAGTAGAGCACAAAGTGAGGAGCTAGAAATAAGAACATACCTGTCCAGGTCACACCCCCAGTGACCACCAAGAAGCAGGCCCTGCCTCCTGAAAGCACATTCAGCTATGAATGCATCTACGGATGAATCCACTGATGAATGTGACACGCCCATGATCAGTTGCCTTCCACATATATGAGACTTTGGGGGACAGTTTAGATCGAAGCCATAGCAGCACTCCAGTTTCCAAACACAGCAGGAAAGGGGAAGATGATGCTCAGATGATGCCAGTGGCTCACACTTCTTGCTTTCAGTGAGGGGCGAAGTTCAGAGGCTTTAGTGGGAACTGAGGACATGGAATTGCAGGAGAGGGACCAGCAGACTGCTTCACGAAACACTGATGGGAACAGGACTGGCAAGTTCTTAGAAATGTCACTAAGAGGCCAGATGACATCAGAGAAAAGCACAACTTTCCACTCCTCAAAGTCTGAAAGTTTGTGTAAAATTAGTACAATAGACTCATTTTGCAATTCTGTGGAATTTTGTAAATACGTCACCGTCGCTCATTGAAGATAACATGAGCAACGTTTTTCAGTTTTCCAACATTTTTATGATTTGAGGAAGATTTTGGTTTTGGTTTCTGTTTTTATTTTTTAGTACCAAGACTTTCACACTGAGCTATGTCCCCATTTCTGATTTTTATTTTTTTACTTTTAGATAAGGTTTTCCTAAGTTCCCCAGACTGGGCTTGAATTTCTGATCCTCCTGCTTCAACCTCTGGGGTTGTAGTTGTAAATCACCTGGCTCAGCTTGGGGAAGTATTTCTTTGGGGGTGGGACATAATTGCTGCCATATGGTAAGTCAAAAGTCAAACTGAGTTCCTACATTTTAGGAATCTGGGCGTGCTTGTCTGTTCCTCAGTATGTGACATCGGTGGCATCCTCACGCCTTTCCTGGTCTACCGCCTCTCAGAGCTCTGGCAGAAGCTCCCACTCGTGGTGTTTGGTGAGAAATTCTCTCAGCAGCCTCTGAACAGAAGCCTATTTTTCTGAAACCTATATTTCTCCACCTCAAAATAGATATTATGCTCATTGGCATCTATTAATTACAAGTAGTAGTATTACTTATAGTACTACTTAGTAACGTAGGTATTTCTAATACTGTTAGTCACTGTTAATTCCCAAGTAGGGACTCCTGTTTCACAAAGACAGAGTTTAAGAATAGTGATTCAGAAAAATGTTTCTCTCCAGTGTCCTCTTTCCAGATGTCCACCCCTCTGTCAAGGAGCTAATGCAACCAATCTCCAGCCAAAAGACACTAAAATACATCTTTTTATTTAATTACGCCAAAGAAAAATGTTTAAATTTTTGCAAAATTCCACTTCAAAACATAGAGGAAGTAAAATCCACAATTAAGAAAATGCATCAAGCTAGGAATGGTAGTAGGACACAAGCTCTTGATCCCAAAGTAACTTTGGTTTGGCTCCAGAGTTACTGGCGCTGCTGATAAGAACTTGTGCCCCAAAATCCGCCCCTCCCCAACACCAGCAGGGGATCTGTTCCAAGCTCTTTCCTCTTAAAGAAGTGCTCAGCTGAGCTCTGAACTCCTGCCTTCTGGGAGGAAGTTTGAGATGTCTCAACCTCAGCTGTGCCCTTGAGGAGACTGAGTGATGAGCAGGGTATTTCTGGGGATCAATAACTACCTCATGTTTCCATAGCTGCTTTAATAGAACAATGCCAAGTTCAGATACCAAGGAGCCACTGTGGACCCTTGCTTGTGCCTCACCTTTTCCTAGGGAAGATAAGGGATTATAGCAGCATTTCAATAGCCAACATTAGTTCAGTGGCAATCCCAGCTTTATATTTACAGGTAGTTTTATCTTCTTCCCTCACCAGCTTCACTCTGGGAGCTAGTACGAAGCATAACTAATAGTTTTGCATTTCAACTTCTTTCTTTCTCTTTTCTGTGCAATACTCTTAACAACCTTGTGAGGTACTAATACATTGTTCCATGTGGCAGAAGGGAGTCAGAGATGCAGACAACTTTAGGATCTCCCAGTGCTCTCAGACCTGTGAACTGTGAACTTAAAATGGTTATGGGAGCTGGGTGTGGTGGTATACAAATGCAATCCCAGAACACGCGAGGCTGAGGCAGGAGGATTACTATAAATTTAAGGCCAGCCTGAGCTACATGGTAAATTCAAAGCCAATCTGGACTACAAAGAGAGACCTCATCTCAAAAATCAATATATAAAAAATAAAAAGGTATGTAAGAAGCCTGAAAATCAACACATCAGAAAGTCTTGCTTCAAAGAACGCTGGAAAAATGGCTAATGGTTATCCAGGGTGATTAAACTTATTTTTGCAAATGTAAAATGCTAAACAGGTGATGATTTGATGAATCTGCTCATCAAAGTTCACTTATTTCAAAGACTCATTACATCACTACACAATCACCAAGTGAATCTGTAAGGTTTGAGAGACTTAGAACAGCAAATGACTTAGTAGCCTTGTCCATAGCTCATCCCATGAGCCAGGCATTTTCCTAAGTGCTTGACAAACACTCATTTCAGCGTCTAACAAACTTGTAAATAAATGTATTGTCTCATGTGGCAAAAGGGAATCAAAAGGGAAAGGCCACTGCCAGACCTCCCAAGACTCTTAGACCAGGGAAGGAGCCGGAGTCAGCCCCAGGCACTTAGAGCTGGGACTGTGTTGTCTGTTTATCGCCACCATTTCTCCAGGGTAGAGATAAAGTCCACTACGCAGCACTTGGAAATCCCAAGCTCCATATCCTGTATTCCAGTATGGAAACAACATAGAAAGATACAACTTTAGAAGAGCAAAACCTTTATCAGAATTTAAAGAACTAAGAATATCAACACAGTTGTTACTAAGGATTATAACTAGAGACAAAGAAAGAGGAGCAGCGTGAATTTGGCAAGCACCTGGGTTTGAACTAACTGACCTCACAATAGCTTTCAATGCTATTACAGAGTAATACTTCCATTATTTTAATTTTCTAGTAAAGGTCCAAGTTTTCTGATGTATTTTCATTACTAAGTGCTTTAATTTGGCAGGGTTATGTTCTGCCTTTTCATATAGTTAGGTTTTTTCCCATTCTTTTCTAACTCCACTTAATATCATCTAATGTCCTCTGGCCTAGAATAACCTTGACTCAAAACGTTAAGTATTTCATTTCCCTAAAAGGAATTATAATCTAGTGGTGTTTGGCATAATGTTTATGCTGGAAAATAGGACAGTCAGAAGTGGCCAAGGAATCTATAAATAACTATAGGAAAACACAGGGTGGGGTGGGAGCTCTGATTATAGAGCTTGCCTTTCTAAATGTGATCTGATCCATTTGTCTTTGCAGCCGTGATTGGCTTAGTGGCCGGAGTATTGGTGTTGTTGCTTCCAGAGACCAAAGGAAAGGCTCTACCTGAGACCATTGAAGATGCTGAAGCGATGCAGAGGTAGGGAGTTGAGATTCCTAAATGAACTACTTGAATGAATGCTTTGGGACAACTCCATGTCCAGCTGAAGAGGAAGATGAGGTTGAATCCACCCCTTATATCATACAATGAGATAAATTCAAGCTAAATCAAAAACAAAATTGAAAAAAAAAGAAACAGTGAAATAATGGAAACAGTATAAGAGGACTCCTTTATACCTTCATAACAAGAAAGGTCTTTCTGTATATGGCAAAAAACATTCAGAACCATAAAAGAAGGATCAATATTTTTATTTATAATTTCTGTTTAAACCTGCATTGAGAAGCTAGCATACGTTAAAAGTAAAATGACAAAGTTACAGAAAGTATTAACAGCTCTATGAAGGGCTAATCCCCTGAACATACAAAGAACCCTAACAAACCATAAGGGCAACCATGAATGAGAAAAAGCAGGCAAAATACTACAGCAGCTAATTCAGTGAAAAGGAAATAAAAATATATCTTAAATGTAAGAAAGTATGTTCAACCTCTTCCATAATCAAAGAAGTACAAATTAACACTGTACTAATATTTACTTTATTTCCAAAAACCAAAGTACCTAAAAAACATAATCTATGGAGAAGGAATGGAATACCACCAGCCTCCTGCACTGCGAGTAGGAAAACAAACTTGATATACCCACAATGGTCAGGGTATTAATAGAGTCACAATAACAAATGGGTGTATCTTTCAAATAGCAATTCCACATGTCTAGGAACTTACTTGTACAAAATACAGTTGTGTAGAATCGATCATCAAGGCACTATTAGGTAACAAAAAATTGGGAACAACCCAAGCACACATCAGTTGGGAGAGTGGTTAAATATGATAAGCCCTTTAAAGAAATGCTACACAGACATTTTGAAAAAAAGGTGCAGCTTAGGTTCACTGAGAAGCAAAGTTCTTTAAGATTTATTATTAATGGGACAAAGGAAAAACAGAAAAGTACACATTCTACCATTTGTAAATATACTGACAATATATAAACATAAAAGTGACTAAAAATGAAATGCTGAAGATATAAAACTATGATTACATTTAAATATATACTAAATCCCCCAAGGTTTGTTTTTTGCCTTCAACAACCCATGGCTCACCCATTGTCTATTGCAATGTGAAAGTATTAAATGGAAAATTGCAGAAATAAATAATCCATGAATTTCATATTGCACACTGCTCTGAATAGCACAATAAAAACTTGTACCATACCTCTTATGATGAAATATTGCACCATTGTGTTAAATACCCCTTAGAGTATCTGTGCTGCATTGTCTCCCAATAGTAACTCAGCAGGCAGCTCAGTCATTGAAGAGAGGGTTGAAGGGGTAGCTCAGGGGCAGAACATTTGAGTAGCAGGCATGAGGTCCTGGGTTCAATCTCCACACTGAAAAACATGTACACTCAATTATCCAGTGGGTTATGGAGGTCTCATCATACTTTAGTCAGGTAACCTTTATTTTACTTGAAAATGATCATAAAATATGAGAGTAATAGTGCTGATCATTGAGACATGCCAAAGAGAAACTGCAAAGTATTTAAATGAAAAGGTGAAAACTCTCAATGTAGTAAGGAAAGAAAAAATTATGTCACAGTTGTGAAGAGGATCAGAAAGAATACATCTCTTACTGTATCCAATTTATAAATTAAACTTTATCATAGGCATATCTGTATGAGAACAGAGCATGCATTTATGTGATACAATACAATCAAGCATACACTGGAAGTCTTGGAACCTATCTTCCGGGTTCAGTGGGGAATGTGTGTGTGTGTGTGTGTGTGTATGTGTGTGTGTGTGTGTGTGTGTGTGTGTGTGTGTGTGTGTGTGTATGTGTGCATGTGTATCTCCAAAGAATGTGCACGAACCATAACACTGACTTTCTGGAATTGGGTGGCTATAGAATATACATAAGAGGAACACTTTCCTAGACATATATTTTTATACTTTTTAAATTTATAACACAAGAACTGCTTTAAAAAGTAAACTAAAAAAAATTTTGTTTCTATAATCTACTTAAACCTTTGTTCTTTTAAATTTTGTCATCTCTATTTTAGACCCACTGGTGCCATGAACTAAATTGAATTTTTGCATTCTACAAATCTTTCACATTTAACTTATTGGGTACTTTGGCAAATGTTGCTGAACTGAAGTGTTCTGAAGCTTTTCCTAGAACAGATCTTAGAATTAAAAGAGGCTTTTCATCTTGACCTGAGGTCATCCACTGGAAGCCCACAGGACACAAAGTTCTCCAATGCTTTGTTTGGCCAATGTAATATTTTTTAAAGTGGGAAATTCCACATAAAGGGGACTTTCAGGATCTGTTAGAAATCAGAGTTAGGAACACTGATCAGGCATCTCCTCTTGCTGACAATTTGTGGGAGCTGAGCAGTGGCTCTGCTTTTTGAAAAGCAGGTCTTCTGCAGTAGGCCAACACCCCGACCACCCCCTGTCGTCCTGGGCCTGGTGCACTTATATTAAGGACATCTGAATTTGAAGCCCTTAACTTAGGCTAGCTCCCCTCTCCCTTATCTCAGCAGTTCTTCCTGTGCACATAAGCACCTCATTCTGAGGACAGAGACTCTGTCCTCTGTGTGTCATGTTACACACAGGAACAGAAGTTCTCTAGATAGCTGTAGAATGAATGCTGCAGGCTTCCTTAGCATTGAAAATTGAAAGCCTTCCTGGCATTTCCCCAGCAGCTCTAATGTCCGGCAGGCAGTCCCATGTGGCAGAGAGGAGCATGGCCATAGCATCTAACCTTCCATACTCACATTCTCCACCTGTGGGGTCTGCCCCAGTCTCTTCATATGTACTATAAATGGGGACAATAATACCATTCCTTTGTTTTCCTTGAATGAGACAAAGCATATAAAGTGCTTGATAATAAATGTCCAGGAGCCACTGTTACTCTTTAGTGAAGCTTTGATAGTTGTTCTATAAAATGACAGAACATCCACTGAGACTATTCATTGGAAACTGAATTTTAGGGGAATTGTTTTGAGACAAACAGTACAGCTCAGTGACGTGTATACACACACACACATTCACATGTCAGAGTTCTCAGTTTCCATCAGGCAGGCTCAAAGCAGGCTCAGAGACATTTTCAAGAATTATAGCTGCTGTTATTTGGTGTGCAAATAAGTTATCTGCAAATAATATGCCTGTAAAGATTTTTCAGTATCATATCACCCAGTTTACTGGTCACTGAGACAGCTCTGCTAGAGGCCTAGGGACTGAACTAAGGGGTTTGCAAAGAGTAGGCCAAGACAGTTCTGGGAGGGCTCATCTACACATAATCAGCAAGAAGCAAACCACAGCTGGCACTGAGAGCAGATGCCAGGTTCAGTGTCCTGGGGACAGAGAACAAGACAGGCTGTCTCTTGCACACCCAAGGTGTGTGGTATTTGAGAACACTTGGCACAGCCTAATTACACATACAGCCTGTGTGCTTAGTAATGTGCCCTGCTCTCCTCTCTGAACCTGTTCTGCTTTTTGTGAATTGAGAACAAAGCTGAGTTCTGTTCAACTGCTGCTATCCAAAGCCTTCTTCCCTGACACTCATTTCCTTGCTTAGTCCTTGCCCCAGTCCTAAGAAACAGGTATTATTGGTAATCCCACTGACAGCTGCAGCCAATACAGGCATGCAGACACGAAGGGACTTGCCTGGAGTCACACCACCAGTAAGTGATGAAACCGAGGATCCAAATCTGCCTGCTAGATTCCATGATCCACACACCCTCCTCATGCCCTGAAGACCAAGCTCACACATGCAACAGGCAGCCGAGTACTCGTGCAGTGAGCAGCATCTAGGTTGTAGCTACTGTTGCTGCTGCTGTTGTATTGTTGCTGTTGCTGCTGTTTCATTACTGTTGTTGTTGATGCTTATTGCTGGTGCTGCTATTCTTGGTGCTACTGTTGATGCTGCCGTTGTTGATACTTGTGTTGGTGGTGTGCTGTTGTTGCTGCTGGTGCTGTTGCAGTTGTTGATGCTGTTTGCTGTGTACTATTATTAATATAACTTTTGGTAGTGCCATTGTTCCTGATACTATTGTTGATGCTGCTGCTGATATTGCTGATACTGTTATTGCTTTCTGTTGTTGCTGCTTTTGTTTTCTTCATGCTGTTGTTGCCTCCATTGTTTTTACTGCTGCTGTTGATGTTATTGCTATTACTGTTGCTGCTTCTGTTTTTCCTGCCGTTAGTGTTACTGCTATTGTTGCTGGTACTGTGGTTGTTGCTACAATTATTGATGCTACTTAGTGATTATTGCTTACTAATTAGTGATTATTATTGTCACTGCTGCTCTTGTTGACATTTCTGTTGGTGGTGGTGTACTTGCTGCTGCCATTGTTCACGCTGCTGGTGTTACTGCTGTTATTGATGCTATTATCAGTAGTGGTGCTGTGGTTGCTGCCATAGCTGTCACTGTTGTTGATACTGTTGTTACTGCTGTGGTTGTTACCATTGTCACTGATGCTGTTTTACTGCTGTTCCTAGTGTTATTGTCACCACTGTTGCTGCTGGTGCTGACTGTAGTGGTAGTGGTGGTAATACTGTTATTGTGACTGTTGTGGCAATTGTTAATGATGCGACTGTTACTATTATTAATGGTACTGTTCTGTCTGTCTTTTTGGAGATTCAATAGCTGCTGTTCCAGCCATTATTAACACTACTGCTGTTACTGATACTAATGTTGCTATTGCTGTTGCTGCTAGTGATGGTGATGCTATTGCTGCTGCTACTGCTGTTGCTGCCATTGCTATTATTGCTGTTTTGACTGCTGCTGTTCCAGCTGCTGTCAGTGCTACAGTTGCTGCTGCTATTTATATTATTACTGCTGTTGTGTCCTTTGTGGTTGCTATTGAGCTACTGTCAGTGTTGCTGTTGATGTTCTTGTCAATGCTTTTGTTATTGCTGTTGTTGATGCTGCTGTTTCTGCTGTTGCTGCCATTTCTGCTGCTGGTGGTGGTGCTGGTGCAGCTGCTGCTCCTGCTGCTTCTGTTTCTGATGCTATTTGCATTGTTAATGTTGTTAATGTTATTGTTGCTGCTACTGCTGTTATGGCTATTATTTCTCTTGTTGTCATAATTGTTACTGTTGCTGCTGTTGCTCCCATTGTTGATGCCGCTGGTGGTGCTGCTATTGTTGCTGCTGCAGTTCTGGCAGCTGTTGGTGGTACTAGAGCTGCTGCTGCTTCTGCTGCTGCTCTCGCTGCTGCTGCTGTTACTGCCATTGTTGATGCTGCTGTTGTTATTACTATTATTGGTGCTGCTATTTCTGCTGTTGACGTTGCTCTTGCTGATATTGTTGCTGCTGTTGCTCTCCTGGCTGCTGTTTGTGGTGCTATAGATGCTGATGATATTGTTGCTGCTGCTGTTGCTGTCGTTGCTGCTGCTGCTGTTCTTACTGCTATTGTTGGTGCTGCTATTTCTGCTGCTGCTGTTGCTGCCATTATGGTTAATGCTGCTGTGCTGGATGTTGTTGATGGTTCTATAGCTGCTGCTGTTGTTATTGTCAAGGCTGTTGTTGATGTTGCTGTTGTTGCTGCTTTTATGGTCATTATTGATGCAGCCATTATAATTGCTATTGTTGTTGCTGCTATTGCTGTTGCTGTTGCTGAAAGTGCCATTATTGATGCTGCTATTTCTGTTATTCCTGTTGCTGCCATTGTTGCTGTTGCTATAGGTGACATTGTTGCTGTTGCTATTGTTGTTGTTGTTATGGCCATTATTGATGCCACTGTTATAGTTGCTATTGTTAGTGCTCCTGTTGCCACTGCTGATGTTGCTGCTGCTGTTCTGAATGCTGTTGGTGGTTCTATGGCTGCTGTTGTTGTTGATGCTATTGTTGGCATTGATGTTGTCATTCCTGCAGCTTTTATGGCCTTTATTGATGTTGCTGTTATAATTACTACCATTAGTGCTGCTGTTGCTGATGCTGTTGCTGTTACTGCTGCTGCTGCCGCCGCCAATACCCCTGTGGCTGCCACTGCTGTTATTGTTATTGCTGCCATTTGTACTGCTGTTGCTACTGCTGGTGATGCCATTGTAAGTGATGCTGCTCTTGCTATTGTTATTGTCAATGTTACTGTTGTTGTTGATGGTGGTGAGAGTTGTGCTGCTGCCACTGTTACTACTATTGATTCTACCACTGTTGTTGCTGCTATTGTTGTTATTGGTGGTGGTGATGCTGCTATTGTTCCTATTGTTGATGTTACTATTATTGCTGACTTTATTGTTGTTGCCACTGCTGTAGGTGCTGCTGCTGGTAGTGATGTTACCATTGGTGATATTTCTATTGTTGTTGTAACTGCTGTTTCTGCTGTTGTTGATGCCAGTGTTGTTGCTATTCTTGATGCCACTGATGATACTGCTGGTGGTGCTACTGCTGCTATTAATGCTATCATTGGTGTTACTGTTAGGGTCATTGTTGCTGCTACTGTTGTTGTTGCTGCTACTATTGTTACAACTATTGTCTGTGCTATTGCTCCTGTTGTTGGTGGTGGCGGTGACAGTGTTTTTGTTCCCACTACTGTTGGTACTACTATTACTGCTATTAATGTTGCTGCCAGTATTACTGCTGTTGTTGATGCTTTTGTTGCTGATGCTGATGATTCTATGACTGATGTTGTTGGTAGCAATATTGCTGCTACTATTGTTGATGCTATTGTTGATGCTACATTTTGTGGTAGTAACGGTGCTGCTGTTATTGCTACTAATGCTGATGATTTTGCATTTGTTGGTTCTGTTGGTGCTATTATTGCTGCTGCTATTAGTGGTGATGCTGTTGTTGTCGGTGGTGCTGCTGTTAGAGATTCTGCCATAGTAGTAGTTGGTGGTGGTGGTGCTGCTGCTGTTGTAGTAGTTAGTGGTGATGGTGCTGTTGCTGTTGCTGCTAATATTGATTCTATTGTTATTGCCACCATCTGTGATACTGCTGTTGCTGCTGGTGGTGCTCCTATTCCTGCTGCTGTTGGTAGCAGAGCGGCCGCAACCTTTGTTGCTGCTATTGTTGATGGTAATGATGTTTCTGCTGTTAATTTTACTTTTGTTGGTGCTACTATTGTTGTTGCTGCTATTGGTGGTGATGCTACTATTGTTCCTGCTGCTGTTATTGAAGGTGCTGTTTTTGCAGTTGTTGATGATGGTGCTGCTGCTGCTGCTGCTGTGGGAGGTGATGCTGCTGTAGTTAGTGATGCTATTGCTGCAGCTGTTGCAGTTGGTGATAGTGCTGCTGCTGTTGTGGCTGTTATTGTTGTTGGCACCATCACTGCCACCATCATCATCACCACCACCACTGCTGCTGCTACTGTTCATGCTGTTGTTGTTGCTGCTACTCTTGATGCTGCTGGTGTTGTTGTTGTTGCTACTCTTGATCCTGTCAGTGGTGCAACCACTGACATTGGTGCCACCATTGTTTTTGTTAATGATGCTATTGTTGTTTCTACTATCATTACTGCTATTGTCAGTGCTATTGTTGTTCCTCCTGTCAGTGGGGATGACGACACTGCTGTTGTTGCTACTATTGTTGGTACTACTGTTTTTGCTGCTGCTCATGTCGCTGATCACAACATTGGTGTTGCTATTGTTGATATTCTTGGTGATGCTTCCACTGCTGCTGCTGCTGCTGCTGCTGCTGCTGCTGCTGCTGCTACTGCTGCTGCTGCTAGTACAATTGTTGCTACTGCTATTGTTGATGCTACTATTGTTGCTACTGCTGCCACTGTTGATGCTGCTGCTGGTGTTGCTATTGCCATTGGTGGTGGTACTGCTGCTGCTGTTGCTTCTACTGTTGGTTGTGTTGCTGTTGCTGCCTTTGCTGTCATTGTCAATGTTGCTGTTGTTGCTGCTGTTCTTGATGCTGGCAGTGATGGTGGTGCTATCGTTGTGGCCACTGTTAGTGGTGACATTGGTGCTCTTGGCAGTGATGCTCTTGCTATTGCTGTTCTTTCTGCCATTGTTGTGGACGCTGCTATTGTTTCTACTGTTGTTACTTTTGCTAATTATGATGCTAATGCTACTGCTGCCATTTTTGCTGGTAGTAACATTGTTGATACTGTTGGTACTGCTGCTGGTGGTACTACTGTTGGTCAAACTGTTATTGTTTCTATTGCTGCTGCTTCTGCTGATCCTGCTGCTGATAGTGGAAGTGATGCTGCTACTGTCACTGTTTTTAATGCTATTGTTGATGATAGTATTATTGCTGTTTTTACTAAAGTTGTTGCCGCCACTGGTGGTGATATTGATGCTGGTGGTACTGCTACTATTGTTGCTATCACTGTTGGTTATGTCATTGGTGCAACTGCTGGTGGGGCTGTTGCTGCTGTTTTTGTTGATGATGCTGTTGTTACCACTATTATCTGTGCTACAGTTGTTTCTGCTACTAATTTTGCTGATTATAATGCTAGTATCACTGCTAGTGCTGCTGCTGCTGCTGTTATCATTGCTGTTGCTGTTGCTGCTGCTACCATTGTTATTGGTGTTTTTGCTGCTGCTGCTGCTGCTGCTGCTGCTATTATTGTTGTTGCTGCTGCTTTTGCTGTGGCTGCCACTGTTGCTTCTTCTTTTCCCGTGGCCACTGATATTGTTGCTGTTAATGATGTCGATGATAATATTGTTGGTAGTGCTACTGTTATTCTTGTTGTTACCATTGCTATTACTACTGTTTCTGTCGGTGGTGTTGTTATTGGTAGTTCTGTTACTGCTACTGTTGATTCTGCTATTGCTGCTGCTGTTGGTGAAAGTGCCATTGCATGTAGTGCTGTCAGTGATGCTGTTGTTGCTACTGCTGTGGCTGCCATTGTTAATACTTCTGATGTTACTGCTATTGTTGTTGCCATTGGTGGTGCTGCTGATATTGTGGCTGCTATCATTGCTGATTATGCTGCTGTTATTGCTTCTGAATTTGATGCTGCTATTGTTGTTATTTCTGCTGCTGTTCTTGTCAGTGATGCTACTGCTGCTATTGTAAGTATAGAAACTATGAAAACTCAGAAGCTTCAGTTGTCCCTTCACCTGGGGTCTGAGATGACTCAAGTGTTTCTGAATGATTTGGTGGGTTCCTGCTAACTTTACCTCAGATTTGACTGGTCTAAAAACTGAGGTAGGACTGACCCTGTCCAAGTGGGACCACACCTGATTCAGTATTGCTATGAGCAGAAGTATATGCAGAAAATATGGATGGGAATAACACACTGAAGAAAACAGCATTTTTTCCAATGAATATCAGCAAATCCTGAAATTTATAAAGATAAAATTGGTGAAAAATATGAAATTTGACAAAAACTTTTAGTTGCATTCTCACTCATTGAACTGTTCAAAAGTAAATAGACATTGACTAAAAAGGAACTTCTCACATTTTATTTGAGAACAGATAACACTGTCTGGATTTTTGTAACCATCATTTAATTCATGTGAAGTTGAATTTAATCTCCACCTACATGAACTGCTACAAAAGATAGTGAAATACTCTAAGAAAAAACCTTAGTTATGTCAGTTCTACTTCTCAATAAGTGTTTTAGGTATATCTTATAATACTACAGATCAAGCTCTGTCTATGTTCTTTATGAAAATCACCACTCAGAATATATTTTTCAAGACTAGTCCCCGGCAAAGTTTATAACTGTGTTTTGTTTAATTTATATCTACTTTATTTGGATTTTCAACCTCCTCATAATTTCTCTTCTCTTCAATTTCATTTTTTACTACAGACCAAGAAAATACAAAGAAAATATGATTTACCTCCAAGTGAAGAAACCAGACATTCCACTAAAATAAGGAGAAAGACCATGACTCCTGTTACAGCATTGCTTTGATACTTCCAAGACCAGAAGCAGAGATTTCTTCACTCATCACAAAGCCCATGCGATTCACCATACTTACCCTGAGCTCTGTCAATCTAGAGCTATAGCCAGTGGGCTTTGTTGCTCTCTAAAAATCACCCTACAATCCTGCCAAACCCTTCCAGCTCACTCTGTCCTCAGACCTCCCAGGCCATTAGTTTGCTTGAATTTTTTCCCATCTTCGTATTTCTTTATTTGGTTCCTTTCCCACAATAATACCAAAGCAGAATACCTAGGGAACTGTGAGCAAGGGAAGCCAAATAGAAAAGATCTGAAAAACAATACAGTTAGGAGAAAAGAGCATATTTCCTTAAAGAAATAAAGTATCTAAAGCAACATCATATTGTCCATAGTGTGTATCAAGACCTTTGAATGGGGCCTCTCAGTGATAAGTGAGTAAATTTTAAATATATTGATCATTGTTTGAGTTAGACTTGAAGGGAATGTCAAATAAAAGAATTAGAATACAACTCAAGGAATCACAAAGTCTTTCTATATTTGGATGTATAACTTCAAATGTGTGCTTTCTACAAAAGAGCTTGAGGAAAGTTAAAGGACATTGTTAGCATTATTAAATCATAGGTGATAATTTTTCACTCACGTAATATTCTCTAAAGTTTTGGACTTGAAAAAATGTATTAATATTTTACCAAAGTAATATAGTAAATATCATTTTAAGAGTAAAAACTATGACTTGTAAAAAAATTTCTGTAGCTTATTCTACTTCTACCATCCCTTCTGAAAAAGTTTGCAACTATGAAATTTTCAAACTGAAATCTATTCCATATGCAGTACCCAAATAACCCCTTTCTATTGCTATTTTTGATTTTTCATTTAGAATATTTCCTACTGACTTTTTTAATACTAAAGATTTAGTTCTCTTCATCTCTCCACTAATCCCAAAGCACAACTCCTCTTCTCTTTGAATTTTGTTTTGTCACCTGCTAATTAAATCAAATATTCAACACTGGCATCATCATAGTATGTAATGTTACTAACACTGGAGCCACACAATATTCCTATGATTATGTTGCATTTCTTTCTGAACATTTTGCTTTCCAGAGTCTTATTTTTATTGGCTCCCTTTCTATATAGTCATCGTTCATTCCCTCCCAAACTCTGACAAGCAATAAATTTCCCTCACCGTGTTTAAGCACAGCACATACTGGTTCCATTTCTTTCCATTTCCCCTAAAGATCTCACATCTGGAAGCACTAGTGTGTGATTATCTGATGACTTAGAAGGTGGGACAGTATTACACTAATGAAGATCTTTATGCTGATGGAGAGATGTCAGGTTCATAAAGAGTTTGGCCTTTCCCAAGTTTTTTTTCATCACTACTTGGTTCTCAAGGAACCAGGATGTCTTCAGCTAATGTAATCTTCTGATGAGTCACTACTAATCACTGCTCTAGTTGGTACTATGGTGGTCCCAGGAAACAGATACTCGAATATGGCAATCTGGTTAAATGGTGTGATGGGGACTGAACATACAAATGGTCTTATTGTGAGTGGGAAATGGAAGCAACACTGGACAAGTGCCAACATTGATGGCATCTATCACAGGCAGAACAAGAAGCCAATGTTAGATCAGGTGACATCAAATTTGATCACCACTGTGGGAAGTATGACAATAAGAACTGGTGTAGGGTAACTACTGATGCCACTGGAGAATTTATAAAAAGAAAATGAAAGCCTTAAGACTTTAAAATATCTAGCACTGTCAGGTAAAACAAGAGATCCTATCATGATACTGAGAGAAACTCCTGAGTTGAGTAGAGGCAAGGTTGAGAAGCTGAAGATTTGACCCAGTGGGTTATAGAGTCACATCACAGATTCAATTCACCACCCACTTGGGTCTTAAATGGATAGGGAGGATTGGACTCCTGAGAATTGGAATGGAGGTATTGGATAGATTTAAATGAATTATGATGCCCCAAGCTTCCTTTACCAAGAGATGCAGCCTTTCTTTTTCTTTTCCTTTTTCTTTCTTTTCCGTTCTCTTTCATTTCTTTTCTTTCTTTTTTTTTAAAGACAAAACTCTAGATCTAGCTAGCTTGAACACTTTTAATGATCTCATCTCCCGGAGTTGAGGTACCTGGAAAGACAGTGCCAGGATGCCCCAGGACCACCCACCCAGGCACCTCGCTCAATGCTGCCCCCAGGTGTTTGGAGTGTGTTCCTGCACCTAACTCAAGGGGAGAAGTCAAAAGTCTAATAGGAAAGATCCCATTGACACATTAAAATAATTTTAACCTGCTGGGCATGGTGACTCATGCCTTTAATCTCAGCACTCAGGAAGTTGAAGCTGGAGGACTGTAATGAGTTTGAAGCCAGCCGGGGCTACAGAAGTGAGTTCAAGATCAGCCTGCACTACGTAACAAGACCCTGCCAGGAGCAGGAGGAGGAGGGGGAGGAGGAAGGGGAGGGGGAAGGAGAGAGAGAGAGAGAGAGAGAGAGAGAGAGACAGAGACAGAGACAGAGACAGAGAGAGAGAATTTTAAATATTGTAATTTACATCAGCAGAAATCAAGGGAGGGGGAACTGAGAATGGTGGCTCACACCTGTATTTCTAGAATTTTGGGAGGCTGAGACAGAAGAATTATTGCACATTTGAGCTCATCTTGGGCAATTTAGCAACTTAGACCCTATCTCAGAACAAAAAATAAACAGGGTTAGGGATTCTCAATATTCAATACCTCAAACAAAGCATGCAGGGGAAAATCTGAGGTTAAACAATGATATGACTAGACCCAGGAAGGCAAGCATACCGTTTAATCAAATAAGGTTTATATATGAACCCCCTGACCCAAAAATCTAGATTTAACATGTTAGCTGAAGCAACAGGCATTCCTCTAGAAGAGATGTCCCTTGACTCATGAAGCTACCTCTTGATGGACTCACTGTAAACTAAAGTTGTTGTTAAATTGAACATGTGTTAACTACACCATCACTCAGTAATAGCACACTGTAGAGGATTAAGTCTCTTCCTTTCAAGATCTTGGGATTGATTTGGCTCTGTGGCCAATTGCTGCTGCTCAGAGTTACAAGTTTGACCTCTACTGAATGTGTATCAGTCTTATCCCATCAAAAAGTTGAAAAACTAATTAAATTATTATTAGTCAAGAACCACAAATAATTTGTAGGCCAACAACTTTAGAAAAATATGAGAACATTAAACATGACAAAATTCAGGAGACATAATGCCAAAAGTTCATCAATTTGACTACACAAGACTAAATTAAACAGTGTCACACACACACACACACACACACCAAGTAGAAATTCAACAAGAGCAACAGATATGGAAACATAGTTTTACTACATCTGTAAAATCCAAAGAACTATTAACATTTCTTAAAATTTATTTTAAAAAGAAAGAACTACTAAAAGTCAATAAGGAAAATATAATCAAATGGGGGAGGGAGGATAGTCTAGAATTAAAAACAGTTTACTTATCAAAGATAATATAAAAATAACCAATCACATAATTTTAAAGATGTGCATTCTCATTCTTAATCAGGAATATACAAATTAAAGTGAAATTGAAAATGCTCCCTCTTCAGATTAATAAAATTGATATTACTGAGTATGAACAACAATGTGAAGAAACTTTAGTGCATTTCTGGCAGGAGTATTGACTATCTCATTCTTTTATGAAAGCAGTGTGTCAGTATCACACACGTGTAACCCTGAGACTCACTAATTTCACCTTTAAGAGACAAAAGGGTACACATGAAGTCATTTCAGAGGTCTTTATTGAATCGCTTATGGCTGACAGCAAGAACAAGGAAAAACAAGAGTCTACGAATATGAGGAATGCTTACATAAACCATGTTCTATCCACTCATCAGTTCAGAAGGAAGGAAAATATTTATTGATGCATCATAAAAACCTTCAAAGATGAGTTTTAGAATAATAAAGGAGGAATGATGTGACGCTTACCTAACTGGTGGCCTACAGAGTAGAGGTCAGGGGCTAGACAGCAGATGTGAAGGAATTTTTAAAACTTTTTGTAACTGCAGCATTTTTATGTTTTCATATGCATGTTCATGCCCCGTGCTCATGTTATCTTTGAAAATAAATGATTAAATCTGGCAAATAGATTTGCAGTTCTTTTAACACTAAATATGCACTTACCGTATTACCCAACAATTTTACTTCTCAGCACTTATTCCAGAGAAATGGAAAGAAGTGTCCACAAAAATTCTGTAGACAATTGTTCATGCCAGCTTATCCATGATAGCTAAAAACTGGAAAGGACCAGAATATCCCTCAGTAGATTGCAAGTAAAGTAAAATATAAAGCAGGCCTGAAGAATTTCCGAGCAAAGTCAGTTCTCAGTGAAATTGGCTTGGTTTGCAAGCATAAATAAAATTTAAACTTTAGCTATTTCCTATAAATGTCTATATGATATGAAAACAGAATTGAGGTTCAATCAATCAGAAGCCAACAAATTTGTAATTATGTAACTATGATTTTTCAACAGAATAGACTGCATTAGCCAATGTAGTAACTGTGACTAATCAATATTTTATTTTATTATTTCTGCATTCACACTATAAAAAATGCCCCTTGTGCTTTGTCCATGGAACCCTGGACTATTTCTAGATTGGAGTTACCCAATCCATAAATTATTATTTGCTCCAATTGACTGTAACATTTTAATATGCCTTACTTTACCTTGTGACGAGGTGAGGGGTAACAAACTGATATATCTAGACCAAGGATGTTCCTCAGGAGGAAAAAGAAACTAACTATAGATAGCATACATAAACTGAGTGGATGTCTAAGGTGATATGTTAAGTGATAAAGGTTAATATGGAAGGTTTTTTTGTGGTGATGGTTGAGTTTTGTTAATTTTGTTTTGTTTTTGAATTATGGTTCCTGTAAAGCAAAGCTAGAACTCAAAACACTGGAATATCTGGGCATGATGGCACATGCCTACAATCCTATAATTTGGGAGGCTGGGGCAGGAGGATTGCCAGGAGTTCAAGGCCAGCCAAGGCTAGCTAGTGAGCTCAAAACTAATCTGAACTACATAGCAAGACCTGGTGTCAAAACACCAACCCCCTTAAAAAAAAAAACACTTGAACACATTCTATATCCAAAATCACAAAGATTTTAAGTTCTTTTACTTTCATATTTGATTTGTCCACATTTCATTTGACAATTTTTAATGATTCACACTTAATAAATATTAAGTTTACTGAATGTTGAATTTACTTAAATTGCAATAAAATATAACTAATTTTTGCTTTCATTTTTTAATCTGGTTACATAATAAGTGTGAACTGATGTTCTCCCAAAAAGCCATCTTTATGTTAAAGCGATTTCAGAATGTTTGATATTCAGTAACTGGAGGATTATAACATTTTAGAGAGATGGAATGTTGCAGGTCAAGAAGCCAAAATTATCCCAAGCTATTTACTATCAACCTCTGCAACTGATTAGCATTTTTGTAACTATCA